TTGCCAGATATATTGGAGCTTCATTATGTGTTATTTGTTTCTCTTCTCCTGCTGCTTTTAGGATCCTTTCTTTATCCTTGACCTTAGAGAGTTTGATTATTAAATATCTTGATATAGTCTTATTTGGGATAAATCTGCTTGGTGTTCTATAATCTTCTTGTGCTTGAATATTGATATCTTTAGGTTTGGGATGTTCTCTATTATTATCACTTTGAATAAACTTTCTACCCTTATCTCTCACTCTACCTCCTCTTTAAGGCCAGTAACTTTTAAATTTGGCCTTTTGAGGCTATTTTCTAGATTTTATAGACATTTGTCATTTCTTTTTTATTTTTGTCTCCTCTAACCGTATTTTCAAATAGCCAAATTTTCAAGTGTCTTCTAGCTCACTGATTCTTTCTTCCACATGATCAATTCTGCTGTTAAGATACTCTCATGCATTCTTCAATATGTCAATGCATTTTTCAACTCCAGAATTTCTACTTGATTATTTTTAATTCTTTCAACAGCTTTGTTAAATTTACCTGATAGGATTCTGAATTCCTTCTCTGGGTTACCTTGAATTTTGTTGAGTTTCCTTGAAACAGCTATCTTGAATTCTGTGTCTGAAAGGGCACATATCTCTGTGTCTTCAGGATTGGCCCCTGGTGCCTTGTTATCTATTTTATTTAATTTCTTTGAGGCAGGGTCTCACTGTGTTGTCCAGGCTGGCATGATTGTGGCTCACTGTAGTCTCCACCTCCTGGGCTCAAGTCATCCTCTCACATCAGCCGTCCAAGTAGCTGGTAGCTGGTACTACAGGCACAAACCACCACACACAGCTAATTTTTGTATTTTTGTAGAGACAGCGTTTCACTGTTGCCCAGGCTGTTCTCAAACTCCTGAGCTCAAGTGACATCCAGCCTCAGCCTCCCAAAGTGCTAGGATTATAGGAGTGAGCCACTGTGCTTGGCCCTGGTGCCTTATTTAGTTCGTTTGGTAACGTCATGTTTTTCTGGATGGTCTTGATTCTTGTGAATGTTCATCGGTGTCCAGACATTGAAAAATTAGGTATTCTTTATAGTCTTTGCAGTGTGGGCTTATTTGTAGCCATCCTTCTTGGAAAAGCTTTCCAGGTATTTGAAGGGACTTGGGTATTGTAATCTAAGTTTTTGGTCACTGCAGCTGTATCTATATTAGGGGACACCCGAAACCCCATAATGCTGTGGTTCTTGCAGACTTGTAGATGTGTGCCACCTTGGTGGTCTTGGATAAGATCTGGAAGAATTCTCTGGAGCATCAGGCAGAGACTCTTGTTCCCTTCCCTTGCTTTCTCCCGAACAACTGGAGTCTCTCTCTTTGTCCTGAGCTTCCTGGAGGTGGAAGAGGGGTGTCACAAGCACCCCTGTGGCCACCATCACTGGGACTGCACTGGGTTAGACCTGAAGTTATGGTACTGCATCTTGCCCAAGGCCCATGGTAACCACTGCCTAGCTACCGTCTATGTTTGCTTAAGGCCCTGGTCCTCTACAATCAGCAGGTGGCAAAGCCAACCCAGCTTTTGTTCTTCCCTTCAGAGTGGCAAATTCTCCCTGAGTTGGGGTGTGTCCAGAGATGCCATCTGGGAGCCAGGGCCTGGAGCTAGAAACTGTAGGAATCTACCTGTGGCTAAACTGGCACCCAAGCCACAAGACAAAGTCCTTCAAGGCCCAAGATCTCTTCAGTCAGCTTGTGGTGAATGCTGCCATGCCTGGGACTTTCCCTTCAGGGCACTGGACTCCTGTCTGGCCCAGCGAAGGTTCAACAATGCTGTCTAAGAGCCAAGTCCTGCAATCTGGGACCCCAAGAGCCCACTTAGTACTATACCCAACAGTGGCTGAGGTTGTACCTTGTTTTTTGGTTTTTATGAAGGCACTTTTTTGTGTGGATAGTTGCTTAATTTGGTGTTCCTGTGAGGAGGACAATCAGTGGAGAATTCTGTTCAGCCATCTTGCTCCACCTCCTGTGTATGAATTTCTGTGGCCATATACTTCAAGGTATTTTGGGATTCTTTCTGCTTTTCTGAATATCTGTAAACTGATAAACTGAGGAGAAACGTATTTATCATTTAAAAAATACTATCTTCCTGCCATGTTAAGTGCTATGCAGAACTGGCCGGAATAGAAATTCCTATTCTACTGACTTTCTAGAGTAGAAAATTGGACAGAGTCCCTTACAGTATGTGGTAAATGTGGCATGAATGATAAAAAGAAAATGCTCTAGTATGGAGAGGTTATCACTACTGAATAAGTCAGAGGACGTGAAGGAGAGCCTGGGCCTTGCAGAATGGGTAGAATTTTGATAGCTGATAACATTCCAGGCAGATATCAGGAAGTTTTAAAACCAAATTAATTTGAGCATGAAGTTTACATTGGAAAGATAAAGCTATATCTTGGCTTTGAATGCCATACTGAGAAGTCTAGTCATTTGACAGATAACAAAATTCAATCACTTTATTGGTAAATATTTTTTCAGCTATCCATTTAATCTCCCAAATGTAGTTTTATAAAAACTGTTTGGTATTTTTATGATATGTTTCTCTCTGAAACTGATATATGCATTTGTGTGTCTATTACCTTTCTTTGAAGCATTAATAAAACTTATAAACTATGTCAAATCATTCAAAAGGTATTTGCTAGATGGCCTAAAAGATCACCTCTACCTTTTGTCATTTTTCTAGGTAGAGAATTTTAGGGAGGGAGAAACAGCTACTTATTTCCACCGAAAACTGCCTGTTAGCCTTCCTTCATGAATGTTGTCTAACCTGCTTAAAAAAGAATTTGATGAGACACAGTAATGAAAGAGCTCAAAGTTACATTATTTTGTATAAAGAAAGCAAACAGTATATTTCAAATACTTTCCATGCTTTATTAAAATTATGAACTTTTGAAGGAAGCCTAAATTTATAACAGATATAGCAAATGTTAATTGTTTCAGTACTTGTTTTTTAATATGGCTAAGTAAAGAAAAAAACATGATATTTCACATGTAATATATAAACAAATTATATAGTTCATATTCAAAGTAGGATAAATTTGTGCTAACAAGTCAAGAAACTTTAAGGCAGCTTAGTAATGGAAAATAGATGTAATGATGCTTCCAGGTGACCTCTTAAAAACCCGAGTCTTATCTTGTCACTGTCATGTGTAGGCCTCACACATTAACCTCAAAATAAACCATGATTAAGGGCTTCTAGGATCACTTTGATCTTGCTCTTTCAGCCTGATCCAGTGCTATGCAGACCCTTAATCTCCCTTTCCCTATAATCACACTGGACTTTTTTCAGTCCCTTCAAGTAATGTGCTCACTTAGGCCTGGAGGCCTTTGTGTGTCCCATCCCTTTCTCTCAGCCAGGAATATTCTAATCTCTCCCTTTGGTCGACTGACTTCTATATATTTGTTTCATCTCATTTTAAATAATCAGCTAATCAGAAAGTCTCCCACTCTACATTCTCCCCTCTCAGAGCACCTCGTAATTTTCTCTGACAGTAGTTTCCACATCATTTTTATTTATGTTTGTTTTTCTCATTAAGCTAAATTCCTTAACAGGAATAGTGTCTACTGGTACAGATTATTTATAAAGTATACATATTCTAAACTTCAATAGTTGTGAAATTACCTTTAAATAGATTGTATCACTTTTTACTGTGTATAGGAGGGCCTGTTTTCCCACAGTCTTACCTCTTTACATAATGTCAATTTTGAAAAAAAACTTATTTTTAAAATCTGTAACTGTTTTTAGTGAGCTCAAATATCTTTTTAGACATTTATTGGCCAATGGCATTTTTTCTGTGTTCCCATTTTTCTGTTGATTTGTAAGAGCTCATCACATATTAAGGATGAATCTTTGTCATATAAATTATAAATATTTTTTCACAATTTTGTCTGTGTGCTAGATGGCTTCTCTGTCTTGAGTTTTATATCCCTAAAAACCCTTCTCTACTCTGTGCCCCAGAATGTTCTTCTAAATATCCTGCTCAGTTCTCTTATGCTTTCCAGGCTGTGAACATGCTATTTCACCTGACTAAAACAGTGGTTTCAGCTTCTTAAAAATTTCATGAATATTATAGAATATTGTGATTCCTTAGGAACTACTGATTCTAAAGAGTCTTCTCTTTAACCCTTTTATGCCTTTTATAATCAGAATTGCTTATTTATCGCATTACTGGACTGAAATTTTAAGACTGACAATTCCTTGTCTTCTCTCCCTACCCTCTATAGGGATTATGGGGTCCTTACACCTAGCACAGTACTGGCAAATAGTGTGCTGTTTTGTTTGTTTGTTTTTAAATTACTCTATTTTTAAATTTTTATTTATTTATTTAGAGACCAGGTTATGAGACTGGCTAATGTTTGTATTTTTGGTAGAGACGGGGTTTCACCATATTGCCAAAACTGGTCTTAAACTCTGGGACTCAAGTGATCTACCTGCCTTAGCCTCCCAAAGTGCTGGCATTGCAGGCCTGAGCCACTGTGCCCCGCCAGCAGATAGTGTGCTCCTCATAATCAAGTATGGAGTTAATCAATCATGACTGCTCTAGAGTACTCTTATAGGAAAGACCTGGCACTTTGTGACATTTGTAGCCTTTTTTGCTTCCTCTGACTTTTCACTATATTTTAGATAATGAGATAATTGATCTTGATGAGTAAGACAGAGGAATATAGCCCTGTTCTTTTAGGACCACAAAGTTTGTCTGATCTTTTGTGGACTTTTAAATAATGCTTATTCTTTTTTGTGCACCAAGTAATGAAGTGATGAGAGAGTGAATCTAAAAAGTAAGGAAAAGTTCAGGGTATGGAAATAGCTATTCAGTGACTTTGTATTTTTACTTGTGTTCTTAAGAACCTTTATTCATGTAATGCAAAGTAATTTGTGCTGAAGTTGAACTTGTGAGAAAATATATAGTACTTAATGCATTCTCATTTGGAATATGTGATCTGTAGAAATCGAAATATGTTTATTTATTTTACTGTTTTTATAGGAGGTTCGTAAAGTGAATGAAAGCATCAAATATAATCACCCATTGAGAAAATGTGTTGATACAATACTTAAAAAGGTAATGAAATCATTTTATCTGTTTCCTTTTGAAATACACACTTATATATTATACTAAAAGTACCAGAAAAGTATGAAAACAGCCTATAGCTGAGGTCTTAAACTCATTTTCATAGAAATATTAACCAAATACCATTTGTACTTTGAATTTTTTTTTAATTACTGCAAGTTTAACACTAATTATTGGCAGTACTTTCTGTTGAAATATGGAGATAGAGGTTGACTAATATATAAGGATTGTCATGACAATGATGGAAATAAACCTTTAAACTGTCATTGTATATGTTCACTAAAGGCATATCTCCTGTAAAAATAAACTAAAGCCTCAGTAATATCTTACAATCAGCTACCTACACGTTATTTTACAAATATTTTCATTAATATATTCATGACATATATCATAAAATGAGTGATGTTAGCATAGGTATTTAGTAAACCGTATAGTTAAGGTTTTGATGCATTGGTATTGAATTAGTGGTATTTATATACTTCCAAAAATGGTTATTTGCAGTTCCCCAACTGTCTTCTAAACCCACAGAATGATAGAAATATTTATTTTCCTATATTTTAAATCTGTTATACTGATTCTTGCCTAGTGTTCTGTTTGGCTAAGATAATATTCATTGGAATCACTTTTCTAACTATTTATCTCACATTTGCTACTTTTTGAGAACTACTAAGAGAGGTTAACTAAGTTGCCCAAGTTCATATAGGTAATAAATGAATAGTAGTATAGAAGATGACTTTAAATTCATGTATTTATTTCTCTGTGCTATGCCTTTCAAAAATTCAGCATCTTGGATTTGTCATGATTTTGCTTCATTCTTTAGCTAGAAAAATAATTTATCCTACTTAGAATAATCCTCTCAAATACTAGTTGCTTCCTGTAGGTAAGTTCCCCTGCCTATAGCCATCTATATCTATCTAGTATATATGAACACAAAGATTAATATTATAGAGGTGAGAAGAAACTCAGTACACCTTTTAAGACATTTTCAAGAAAATATCAGCAGATGAAGTCTAACTAGAGATGACAATAAAGTAGGAAGATGTTTTTGAAAAAATTAGAACTGCTCAAGAATGAAAGATTTTTAATAAAAATAAATTTTTATCTTTTTACAATTAAGATTTTTAAAAGTCTACTTTTTTTTTTTTTTTTTTTTTTTTAGTGCCCTACAGAGTATCAGGAAAAAATGGGGAGAAACATGGATGATTATGAAGATTTTGATGAAAAGCATAATATTTACCCAAGTGAAAAAAGTCTGGTAAAACTGCATAAACAGGTAACTTTGTTAATTGTAAGTATTTTACTTAATGATGATTTTAATTAGACTTATAATCATTGCTCATATAAAAGGAATGTTTAGTGAATGTGTATTGAAACTTCCTTTCATCCTGTCCTTATTATTCTTTGAAATATTTTATCTCTGTGTATACCAGCAGGGGTACTATTGGCATTTGAGGAGGGAGAATTCTTCACTGAGCATAACTGTTACATTATATAAAACTGTTATATCATTTTAGAACCTTAATATTCTCAGCCTGACCCAGTAAATGCCCTAGCACTTTCCCGTTGTTGTGACAATCAAAACATGCTCCCTAGTGGAGAACTGAACCACTGTTGGATCAGAACACTGCCAGGTCTACCCCCATTCTCTTTTTTAGGTGATTTATTCAGTTCAGAGACACCGTCGAACTCAAGTACAATGGCAGATTCTTTTGGAACAAGCATTTTATCTAGAAGATGTAGCAAAAAATGAAACTAGTGCTACTCGTCAGTTTGTTCACACCTTTCAATCTCCAGAGCCAGAAAATCGATTTATCCAATATTTTTATAATCCTACATTTGGTATGTAATTTAATATAAATTTCAAACTGTAATGATGAAAAGTTGTCTGTAGAAAAAAATTATGTGTTTTCACCAATGCAAAATTTTGTACCATGTGATATTAAGTATCTGGTAACATTTCCCCAAAATAACTGTTTTACTTATCATATAACATATAATCATTAGTTTCCACTGTTACTTCACAAATAATAAAAATTCTATAAAAAAATGTATACATCAAGCATATTTTGTATAATGCATAATGTATACAATTATGTATTGCTTAATGACTGGGATTACTCTGAGAAATGTGTTGTTAGGCAATTTCATCATTGCATGTGCATCATAGGGTACATACTAAACCTAGATGGTATAGCCCACTACACATGTAGGCAATATGGTATGGCTTATTACTTCTAGGCTACAAACCTATACAGTATGTCACTGTACTGAATAATGTAGGCAGTTGTAGCACAGTGGTAAGTATTTGTGTATATAAACATAGAAAAGATAATAGTAAAAATGCAGTATTGTGATTTTATGGGATCACCATTGTATATGCAGTCCATCATTGACTGGAATGTTGTTATGTGACACATGACTGTACTTAAAATAGTTAGAATTGTAAGTAATTTTACATCACAAGCTTGAGTCTCTTCTTCAGTCTTGACATACTACTGAAATATTCCCCTAAATAGTCCTCTTTGATTATTTACATTTATTAGTCTTATTATAAAACCTATACTCTGTAGTTATCATTTTTCTCCTTTTTGATAATTTATGGCAGTCCCTTCAAGTGTTGTCAAATTTAGTGTGAAGAAACTTAATGCAAGTACAAAAGTATCACAGTATTAAAACTTCTATTTACCTTATTTATTCAAATAAATGGTTATATTCACTTGATTCTCCTTTGCATGTTTGGTTTTCAGTATGAAGACTTAATGACTATAACAAACATCTCAGAAAACTTTAACAAAAATGCTTCGTAATTAAATGAAGGAATGATGTGGTATCTGTTTTCATTCATTCAACAAATATTTGGGTACATTAGTGCTATGTATTGTTGGGTGCTTGGTAGCTTGGTACATATCAATTTAAAAAGACAGAAATTCCTACCCTTGTGGAGTGAGGAAAACAGACAATAAACATATAAAGGTGTAAAGATGCTGAATAGGCAGTTGATTATAGAAATTGAAATTCAAGGGAGAAGTCTGAACTACAGATATGAATTAGAGTACCATCAATGTATAGTGAACCATGGGGTCAGGGTAAAATCAATAAAGAAGTATTGAGATAGAGAAAAGAGAAAAGTCTGAGGACCAAGTCTGAGGCACTCCAGAATTTAGAGATTAGGTGGATGAGAAGTAACCGGCAGAAAAGATTAGAAAAGGAGGGGCCAGTGAGACAGGAAAATTAGGACAATGAAGTGTTTTGAGGAAGAGAGTATATAAAGTACCTTTTCAAATGTTGCACATAGATTAAGGATCATAAATATTAAGACTTCACCATTGGATTTTAGAGAAGTGAGGGGAGAGGATAAGGAAACCTGACTGAAATTTATAAGAAATAGGAAGAGGAGCAATTGGAGACAGACTAGAAAACTCTTAACAATGTTTTCCTTATAAAAGGGAACAGATGAAAGGGGTAGTAGCTGACAGAGGATTGGGGGCATAGTCAAGAGAAATTATCACATGTAATTAGTAAATGATATAATAGAATTTGAAGCCAGGCACGGTGGTTCACACCTGTAATCCCAGCACTCTGGGACGCCGAGGCGGGCAGATCACAAGGTCAAGAGATTGAGACCATCCTGGCCAACATGGTGAAAACCCTTCTCTACTAAAAATACGAAAATTAGCTGGGCGTGGTGGCACATGCCTGTAGTCCCAGCTACTTGGGAGGCTGAGGCAGGAGAATCGCTTGAACCCGGGAGGTGGAGGTTGCAGTGAGCCGAGATTGTGCCACTGCACTCCAGTCTGGCAACAGAGTGAGACTTGGTCTCAAATAAAAGAAAAAAAGAAAAAAATGAGAATTTGATAAGACAATAGAGAATTTCTAGGACAATGTTCCTGACTAGTAGAGATGAGGTAGGAAATAGTGAACAATGAAGAGAATGGTGGAGGTAAGGCACAGATGTAACTAGCTGAGAAGTTGTAGTGGTAGAAACTTGGGAAAATTCTCCTCTGATCGCTTTGTTTTCTCAATGAAATGTGGAGAGTAAGTATAGAAGAGGAGATTTTAGAGATTTGAGGAGGGAAGAGAAGGTGCAAAATAGTTACCTAGCAGAGTGGGTATCGGAGAAGATTGGCGAATTATAGTAGGCTAGCGAGACAGTACTGAGGACCCACTTGAAGCTAGTGATTAAGAATTTAAAGTGAGGCCAGTCAACGAGGTTGGGTGTCTTTCTCCTGCAGTGTGCAGCTGTGTGGATGCAGGCTCAGAGTAGCCAGGGAGTTGGATTTAACTAGGTGTGGTTTAGCTTAACAGGTACAGTGGAGCAAAATGGGGCAAAGTAAGTGTGTTACTGTCCTCAAAGACTGGAATCTGAGCTGCATGAGGAAGGAAGGGCATCAAAGTGTTAAATAGCAGTAGAAATGTGATAGAATAAATTGATTTTTCGTCCAGCTATGGCCAGTCAGTGGAGTTGAAATACTGTACTAGATGAAGGTATTGTTTGGAGACAAGGATGCTGGAATGCGATTATATGGAAGGGCTGGAGATGCTGATGATAAAAGGTTTAAGCATCACTGTAGCAACAAGTAATTGAGGTAGGATGGAGGGAAAGTTCATTAGAGAGGAGGTCAAGGAAATGAGAGACAAGGGTATTGAAAGGGGAATCATTTATGTGGGTATTGAAATCACTAGGAATTATGATAAGAGGAAAGTTGTAAAGAATTACAGTGAACCAGAAGCTCAACTATTCAATAAATGAAGTAAAAATACAGCTTTTTAATTTATTGAGCTTTCTTTTTTAAATTTTTCTTTATACCTAAATTCAGACTTAAAACCAAAATGGTGCTGAGTGTGGTGGCTTACACCTATAATCCTAACACTTTGGGAGGCTAAGGTGGGTGGATCACGAGGTCAGGAGATCGAGACCATCCTGCCTAACACAGTGAAACACCATCTCTACTAAAAATACAAAAAATTAGCTGGGCGTGGTAGCACGCATCTAATAAAAATACAAAAAATTATCTGGGCGTGGTGGCAGTCGCCTGTAGTTCCAGCTATTTGGGAGGCTGAAGCAGGAGAATTGCTTGAACCCTGGAGTCAGAGGTTGCAGTGAGCTGAGATCACACCACTGCACTCCAGCCTGGGCAACAGAGCAAGACTCTGTCTCAAAACAAAATAAGATAAAACAAAACAGTACAAAATATTCCCATATACCCTTCAACTAGGCTCTCCAATGTTAACATTTTGCCATATTGATTTGCTTTATCTGTATGTATTTTTTCTTACTATTTTAGAGTTGTATCCAGACATGATGCCTCCTTGTTCCTAAATGTTTCTGTGTATACTTTCTAAAAATAAAGATATTTTCTTACATAGGCAAATACAGCCCTCAAAATAAAAAATTAATATTTATACTGTACTATTATTTACAGACCTTATTCAGATTTTGCTATAATTATCTCAATAATATTTTTTGTAAAAAATCCCAGATCGTGCATCGCATTCAGTTGTTATGTCTCCTTAGTTTCCTCTCATCTGACACAGTTTCTCAGTCTTTGTGTTTTATGATATATCAGAAAATGTTTTTGGGGGTATAGGCCAGTTTTTTGTTGAATGTCCCTGAATTTGATGTTTCTTTAAAATTAGATGCAGGTTCTGCATTTTTCGTAAGAATACCACAGCAGCAATGTCATGTTCCTATCAGTACATCACAACAGGAGGCACATGATGTCAGTTTGTCCCATCATGGGTGATCATCTGGTTAGGGTGGTATCTGCCTGGTTTCTCTGCCATTAAATTGTTGTTTTTCTCTTTGAAATTAAGTATCTTATTGGGAGATATTTTGAAACAATGTAAATACCCCATTACTCTTTTATAGTTTTCCTAATCATTTTTTTCTGTTATCTTCTAGAATGGTACTGGGAATGTCTTTTGCGACCATGGTTTTACAAGATACTTGCTGTGGTTCTGTCCATCTTCTCCGTGATTGTTGTGTGGTCAGAGTGCACATTCTTTAGCACTACTCCTGTCTTATCCCTCTTTGCGGTCTTCATACAGCTGGCAGAAAAAACATATAATTATATTTATATCGAGGTCAGTTTATTTTGTGTCTGTCGTAAATAGATGTCACTTCGTAGTATAATCCTTAACTATTTCTCCATGTATTTCTTCTAGTAAAAATGAAAGCCATGAAGTTTTCTGCAGTGTTGTTATTCATACTTCCAGAAATGTGCTTCATTATTTTACCCACGCTATAGAAACTAATAACTATTTGAGGAGAGATGAAAAGTTGCAAGGTAGTGCAAAAATCTGAGAATCTTTTTTTTTTTTTTTTTTTTTTTGGAGGCAGAATGTTGCTCTGTCACCCAAGTTGGAGTGTGGTGGCATGAACATGGCTCACTGCAGCCTCGATTTTCCAGGCTCAAGAGATCCTCTCACTTTAGCCTCCCAAGTAGCTGGGCCTACAGCCATGCACCACCATCCCCTGCTAATTTTTGTATTTTTTTGTAGAGTCAGGGTTTGCCATGTTGCCCAGGCTAGTCTGGAACTCTTGCACTCAAGTGATCCTCCTGCTTCAGCCTCCCAAAGTGCTGGGATTATAGACGTGAACCATCACACTTGGCCCTGGGAATACTTTGATTATATTTATGCCAGTAAAGCTACATAACTTGTAGGCCTCATGTGAGGAGTTGCCAAGGGAATGGGAAAACATGCTCACATTAGAAGGTAGATTCGAAACTTTTGGATCTAGGATGTTAAACAGTTTGAAATGTAGGTTTTTTCATAATCTTAATGGGTGATTTAAAAATTCTCTATTACTGTATTTCAATTATAGAGCATCAATAAATGTTAGAAATGGAGGCTAGACTGGGCGTGGTAGCTGTAATCCCAGCTCTTTGGGAGGCAGAGGCGGGTGGATCTTTGAGACCAGCATGGCAAACATGGTGAAACTCTGTCTCTACTAAAAATACAAAAATTAGCCGGGCATGGTGGCACATGCCTGTAATCCCAGCTACTCAGGAGGCTGAGGCAGGAGAATCGCTTGAACCCAGAAGGTAGAGGTTTCAGTGAGCCGAGTTTGCACCACTGCACTCCAGCCTGGGCTACAGGGCCGAGACTCCGTCACAAAAAAAAAGAAAAAAAAAAAATGAAGGATAATGCTTGTAATTGTTAAGTGCTAAAGTCTGTTTGTTTTAAACAAACTGCTTTGTTTTTGTTTTTTTCCAGATTGCTTGCTTCCTTTCCATCTTCTTCCTGAGTATCTGTGTTTATTCTACTGTGTTCAGGATTCGTGTATTTAACTATTATTACTTGGCTTCACATCACCAGACTGATGCTTATAGCCTTCTTTTCAGTGGCATGTAAGTCGGATTATGTTTAGAAACAAGAGAAATGTCATCAATGAGTATATTCTTATAGATCTTTTATTTTTGCTTACAGGTGTTCCGCTAACATCTATATTTCTATCAGCTAATTGATTAGGTTTAAATATTAAATTGATGTTTGTTGATTGCCAGCTAACTCCTGCTTGAGTTTTAAGGTTAAAGTAGGTGTGCTGGGTTAGGCTAGAAGGCAGAAGAAACATACTTAGTGAGCCTGGATTTACCAACCAGAGATTAGCAAGTAGTAGAAACAATGGAGAGTTTAGAGACTAAGTCAGACCTAGCTGGTGTCCTAAGATTCAGTGGTCTGTCACTGAGTTGAGGAGGACTGAGAAAACCAACAAGAACAATTTTCCTGAGGAATTTAGAGAGGATTTAGAGAGATATCTTCAAGTTGGGTGAGATTGTACAATCTATTAGTTGTTCTTATTGTTAAATGAGGTATTTATAAAGGATGAACTTAGATAATTTTGTAGAGGAGTTGACATCTAAAGTATTTTTAAGCATCTTTTTTGTTGTTTTTCAAATAATTATGGACTAACAGGAAGTTGCAAATATAGTACAAAAAGTCCTATGTAACCTTCACTCTACCCCCAGTGATATCAAAACCGGGAAATGAGAGTAAAACATTACTGTTAACTATATACTACAGACTTTAGTTCTCACCATTTTTTTAATCCTTCATTCATTTGTGTGTGTGTGTGTGTATGGATTCCTGTAGGCACCAACACAATCAAGATTCAGAACAGTTCTGTCACCACAAAAGAATTCTCTCATATTATGTTTTTTTTTAATTCATACCCACACTTTATTCTCTCCAGCCCCAATTATCCAAGTGGGTTTGTAAGGCATTCTTTTTATTTGGACAGAATTGAACAACTTTATGTCTGTGCTTGTCAGAATGACATATGTTGATACAACTTCAGTTCTTTTATGTACTGAATACAATTCACCTTGAGGATGTTACTGTCCTTGTCATGCTGTGAGATGGATTTTATGGATGACTTAGTTGTAGGAGATGCATGGAAAGGCACTCCACAATTTGTGGGGATAAAGCAATGGCAGAAACCATAAAAGCAAGGAGTTTGAGGCTGTAGTCATGTAGGCATTGATGTGGCAATCTTCAGAATACCTCCCAAGTAAGTGAGGGCAAGTCACATTAAGAATTCAATGTATATATAAAGCAAATAGATGAAAATTTTAGCTATAATTATCTGAAATGTTTTTAATACATCTCAGTATAATATAAAATGTATTTTGCTGCTTTACTTTTTATATACATATTTTTAAATGTTTGTTGCAGGCTATTTTGCCGTTTGACACCTCCTTTATGTCTTAATTTCTTGGGTTTGACCCATATGGATTCATCTATCTCTCACAAGAATACTCAGCCAACTGCTTACACATCTGTAAGTATGGTCAGAAAATGGAATTCCTTAGTTTCACTATCTATATGAGTTGCTGTTATTGTGAAATTTCTTTTAATGCCAGCAGAAAAGTTCTATAGTGTTACTGGTAAAATTTTCTCTTAAAGATTGTATATGTATTACTATTGACTAGATAAAAGTGATTTTGCTTCTTTTATGATAAAAATGTTTTCTGGTTCATATAGGTTGTCTAACTGAGCAGTATCAAAAGAACTGACCTATACTAATATTAACTTTATATTTATAGTCAATGTATGTGATAATTTTGAGTAATAATTACATTAATTTTCCTTAAGAGAAAACCTCAATAAAAAGCAGATTTTAAAAAATAAGTCCATTTACTGCTTTTCTTCTACTTTTTAAAAAGTTCAAATGGATTGGCATGACTGGTTATAGGCAAATTTTCTAATGAAGGAAAGGAATGGAAATTATAGAGCTATTCCAATTTAACTTACTTTTTTCTTGCTCTTCAGATTATGGGTTCCATGAAAGTTTTATCCTTTATTGCAGATGGATTCTATATATATTATCCTATGTTGGTGGTAATTCTCTGCATTGCTACTTATTTTAGGTAAGAAACTTAACATTATTTTTTCTTTTGCTCTTAAATCTGGATATCCTTTCTCTTTAAAACTCTTTTCAGTGTTTACTGATTGAGTTTCAATTTGTTTTATTGTGGCTTTGGAGAAGCTGGGGATAGTTCAAAGGAACTACTGGAGTGATCAGGTGCTATTCTCCCTCTAAAAAATTTAAAGAAGAAAGAGGTAGAGTTATTATTCTATTATAATAAATAATAATATTTTAACATTATTCTATTTAGGCTAAAAAATGATAGGATTAATTACAGAGTGTTAACTCTTAAGTCCTGGCCTTTGACACTGACAGCTAGCATAGCCTGCAAAACACCCTTCTGTCCAGCTTTTTTCTAATGACACAAATTAGCCTTGGAGCTTTCCAATCATTATTGCTGGGTGTCTAGATGCTTCACACCATGGCCAGAACAAAGGGTCAGTTGAGGACCAATTGTAATCAAGCTGTACATTAAGACTAGAGGAGAAATTTTCTCCTGTGTCAGAAAGCACGTGGAATGCTCTTTTCATGGAATTAGAATGAATGGTAGAATCTAGGCAGGAGTGAGATTCAAAAGGGTTTAAAGGATAGGTGTACTTGGCTTCTAGCATCTGTCTTTCCTTCTTTTTATATGTCAGGCCTCCTCATCCTGTACTCTGCCCTCTTTCATTGCTTAAGTGCTCCATGACATACCCAAAATACCACTTTTTCAAAAACACTTAAAAATGTTCATTGCTTACTCTTCTGAGAAAAATAAATTTTATCTACTTACTTTATTTAAATCTTCCAATACCATTTTATAGTTGTTACAGATAATATCTACTAACATTACAGTAATGAGTAAACAGATATTGTTTAAAATACATTCTCTATTGAATTTTTAAAAATATATTTTACTTTCTCATAAGTAAAATAACTAAAAGATTATAACTTCAAATTGTAGCAGGACGAGCCGCAGACAAGAACCCCTCAGACACCGAGCTGTAGAAGGAAAGGGCTTTATTCAGCTGGGAGCATCGGTGGACTCACGTCTCCAAAAACCGAGCTCCCCGAGTGAGCAATTCTTGTCCCTTTTAAGGGCTTACAACTCTAAGGGGATCTGCGTGAGGGTTGTGATGACTGAACAAGCAGGGAGTACGTGACTGGGGGCTGTACGCACTGAACGGAACAGAACAGGACAGGGATTTTCACGATGCTTTTCCATACAATGTCTGAAATCTATAGATAACACAAGCAGTTAGGCCAGGGGCTGATGTTTAACTACCAGTCCCAGGGCGTGGTGCTGGGCTATCTGCCAGTGGATTCCATTTCTGCCCTTTAGTTTTTACTTCTTCTTTCTTTATAGGCAGAAATAGGGCATAAGACAATATGAGGGGTGTTCTCCTCCCTTAAAATAATACTTTTAATATGAACTGATAGCGAATCTAATATTTTGAGTGTTTTCTTTAGGTGGAGAAGACAGTAACAGATCTACAGTGTGAAAATGATGTATTAAAAGAAGAGTCTAGTCACACTTTGTGTGCCTAAAACTATGTTTTTATTATGTGCTTAATCATTTGAAAAGTTAATAAAGTGGAACATTAAGAACTTGTAATATATAAATTTTTTTAATGTTAGCAGTTATGTTGGCAAGATTAGCATTTCTTCTTACCTTGTTAGATGGTTATATGGATCAAGTGATATGGGGCAGAATAATGCTCTGTCAACTATAAAATCTTAGCTATAAGGAATCACTATGTCTAGAGAAAGGAAAATTGTTAAACTTAAATATAATCATTAAAAGTGTCTTTCTAATCAGGATAAACTTTGAGTGCCATTTTGTCTTTAAGGGGAAAAAAAGTTAATTTTCAGATTAACTCACAGAATAGATGTTCTGTTATAGAACACCCGAAGCAATGCCTTACTGACATTTCAATGATAGGTTGACTTGATAAGTTCATTTTCATTTGAAATGCTGCCAGAATTAGTCTAATTCCCATGCTATTAGCAATGCAGCCACACCCAGAGTGAATATTCAGACTTACCTGCCTAGAGAGCGTAATGTTGTTTCCTGACACTTTCGACAAAGATAAAACCTTCCCAGAGACAGTGATCTAATTCTGAGCTTCTCATCCTGGAGTATAGTACTCTCACAAGGATAGGAAGATGGTAAGGAAATGTTTGAAGTTAGAGAATTAACATAATCATCTGCAAAACCCCAATTTTACCCAATGGTAATACATAATAAACATTTTTTATATGAATGAAACAAGTAGATATGTTATGGATTAGCTAGATATTTACACATTTTTCCTGCAAAATGGAATGGAGAGCTTCACTTTTTCTAAATTGCTTTCCTGTTTTCCCTTCGTCTCTCTCTCTCTCTCTCCTTCACCACTTTCTCTTCCCTTTTCCTCCCTCTCTGTGTAGAAGTACATCATTGAAAAAGTTTGAGAACTAATATAATAAAAGAACTGCTTGGTTTTTGTTTTGTCTGGGATTTAAATTCTAAGTCTGTCATTTATTAAGGGATCTTTAGCAAAGTATTTAACCTCTTAGGCCTGTTTTCTTACCTGTAAAGTGATATTTATCTCTTAGAATGATAGTAAAAATTAAATGAGAAGGCATCTGTAAATTATCTGATGTATGGTTGGATCTTAAACAAATATTAATCCTGCCTATTCACCTATCGTTTCCTTCCTTGCGTTCCATATTTTCAGTATTCTCATAGAATACTGAAGTAGGCTTCAGATAAGAGATACAGGAATCAATTTGTAGTATATAAAAGCTATTTAAATAGTTAACTAGATCAGAGGGAAAAAATTGCTCTTACATTATTATAGTTATCATTTTACCATCTTGATGTAATTGTTTTCTGAAGGTATGCTGATAACTTGACTTAATTGACATCTATAAGAAACCTGAATATAGTGCATACCCTAATCAGTGAAGTACAGGGCATACACTTCTTAGAAAGGGAGATAAGTGGTACTTCTTGAAGCATGTCAGATGTGACTATAGATAACTATATGATAACAGATAATGAAGCATAGTCTTCTTTTGGAGTGACAATGCTAAAGAACAATTCATCTAAATATTTACAATGTGAAATAATGCTTGTCTTTTTTAAAAACCTGCTTTTATTAGTTTGGGAACCCGTTGTTTGAATCTGCTTGGTTTCCAGCAGTTTATGGGAGATGATGATATGACATCAGACTTAGTTAATGAAGGAAAAGAATTAATCAGAAAAGGTAAGATTTGTCTTTTAAAATAAATGAAGGGAAAATACTAAATGCTAAGACTCAGCATACAAAATTAATATTTGTATAGTTTGTGAATAATTTTTAATCTATCCTAAGAAATTATCAATTAATGCAAATTTATAGCTAAAAATGTACATGTAGCCTTCCTAGCAAAAATAATTTGAAAACATAAATAATTGTTTTATCTGTCTTTAAGAAATTCTGAAGCTTAAATTATTAGTATGTCTGCAGCTAGATAACACCCTTGTTTGGTCTTGGAATCATTTTCATGTTTACCTTGAAACATAATTGCCAAACTCTGTACAGTTATAAAGCTCATTAATTTAAAGAATCATCAGTTTGATACTGCATGGGAAATCATTCAAGCAAAGGCTACTTTTTTAGAATGTGATGATCATTAACAGCCTGTTACAATACATGGCACTCTGGTAGAATCAAATCACAAAACTGAATGTATTAAATTTACTGATGTTCAAAGTGATGGTAGCATGGAGGGAAAAAAAGTTGACTTTTGGGACATTGGTTCTTAGACATTCTCCCTACTTGAATCTGGGGCTTTTGTGTGATTATGGGTTGAATGTAAGCCAAAATATATTGCAGCTCCAAAGTAAGTTAGTGTAGCCTTCACATGCTCTCCTATTAGACCTCATATGGCATAGCACATCCAGTCCTGGGTAAGATTTTTAAGAATAAGACTGATAAATTAGAAGGTATTTAGAGAAGGACAGCTAGAATTATGAGTCTGTAGAGCATATCCTGTGGGAAAAAAGTGAAAACATCATGTCTGTAACCTAAAGAGAGTAACAAAGAAAACCACTCATACAGAAAGAAGAGAAATATGAACTTAACTTAGAAGATAGGAATGAAAGAGAATAGAATTTACAGAGAAACAAATTTCAGGTCATTGTGAGAAAGAACTCTTTGTTCACTAAAGTTATTTAAACAGAGACTACAGGGCCATCTGCAACAAAAATACGGAAGGCATTCACTATTGAGTGAGGTAGCCTCTCAAATTCTTTCCAGCAATAACCTATAACATTTGATTTTGTGATAATTTAAAAGAAATATCAGTCATAGCCCAATATCTTTACTTCAGTTACACTATGTCTAATTAAACCATGTTATGCCATATTTAAGATCATTTTTCTGTCTTTAGAGAAGAGAAAAAGGCAAAGGCAAGAAGAAGGTGAAAATCGAAGAAGAGTAAGTACAGTATTAATTTCTGTAATCTGAAGATTAATTTGAAATATTTCTTAAGAATCTTACTAATTTGGAATAATTAGCTAAAGACAAAAAAAAGTGGAAAAATGTTATAAGATTTTTTTAAAGAAAGGGAATTTTAATACTTTCAGGTATATACACTAAGTATCCTGACAGACCTGTTCTAAAAGTCATTAGTAATACATTACTTCATGTTTGGCATTGAGCAGCTTCTTGCCTAAAGTAGGTGCTCCATGAATATTTGTTGAATGAATGAATAAATAAATTTGTGTGTTCTTGCTATTAAAGTGGTTTTAATTGCTTTAAAATTGTTTCTCTTTTTTTTGGTGCTGTGATACTAATTTTATTCCTCCTTAATTTTTCTTTAAGCCTCCATTTTCTGAGGCAAACTAACCTCCTAGAAAGTGAAAAGGCAAAAAATGAGTAAAATCTGATTATAATTACCACATATTTTTAACAAATAGGTGTATATACTGGCAAAGCAAAGACTAACTAATAGTTGTCTTTGTGTATCTTCATATATGTGTATCTTCTTTATTTTAGAAGGCAGAACTAGAACCAAAGAGTAGAAGTTACTAGAGATAGATTTTTCTTCTCTATGAGAATTTCTAAATTACACGATTTACCAGAATTGCAATAGGCTTCTCAGACGTAGAAAATTACATGCTATCTAGTCAGAGAGCCAAAAAGCATCTGACAAGGATGTTTTAGAATGAGACCCTGCACTGCATGGAAAGTTGCATTAGGTGACTTCTAATGTCCCTTTCAATTCTAAGAATTTAATGAGTAGAATCCAGTTAATATAGTTTTACTACATTTAAGATGACTCACAGTGCCGCGTGAGTCATAGACTAATTATGTTTGTATACAGCTTTAGCTGTTGACTTTTTAGCTCTCTAATATTTGTAGTTTATTTGAGTGAAAAAAAATTTTGTTAACATCTATTAGTCATTATGGGTTCTTATAACTTTTGCATGGTCTAAGTAAGCTTGTAGTAATATTGTTTTACATTTTAGATAGATGAATAACAATCAAAGTTAGCAAAAATGTCTCTATCATTTGTAGAAGTTAAAATTTATAGAGACTGTGACTTCAATAAATCATATAAAAATAAAAACCTTGACCTATGATTATAATTATATTGATTACTAATGAATTTCTGATGAAAATAAATTATATTACATTGCATATGTAATCTCTTGACATTAATGGATTATTTTCTGTTCTCTTATTATGTTCTCTTATTGTATATTTATTTTTGCTTCTTTTCTAGGAATGGAAAGAACGTTATGGACACAACAGAGAAGATTCCACTAGGAACAGAAATATTCATACTGACCCCAAAGAGTCAAACTTCTCAGATGTTAATACCAACCGTTGTAAGTAGTTTATCTTCTAGTTGACTTGGAAATTGTTTCTTTATGCTTGCTTGCATAAAGATTGAGTGTTAGAATACTCATCCAGAAATGCCTTTGTAGAATTACGAATGTGTATTTGCAGTGACTTTTTTTTTTTTCTCCTCGCATTCCTCAGTATATAGAAGGAAGGGGAAGCTCAAATATGTACTCTGGTAGGGAAATGAGAAACTGGGGCGTCAAATAAATAGTTTTAAGTATACTAACCCTAAATAATGTAAGCACTTATCCCAGGTATGTTCTAGGCAGGTGTTTATTTCTACTATTTACCTTGATGATTTTCTTTCCTATTAATTGATGTAGGTTATTTGATCATTTTTATAATAATTTATTGACTGACCCCTATAGGTTAGGCATATTCCCAGGTATACAGCAATACAAAGAAGGTATGCTTCTTGTCCTCAGGATGCTCATAATTGAGTGAGGGACTGATACCAGACAGAAGCCATCTGCCACCAGGTTGGGTTTAGAAACCTTCCTGTGTCACTGACCCACACTGACATGAGGCAGAAGCTATTTAGGAGGTGCTAGGAAACCAATTTTTCCTAGAACCTTGAGCTGAATAGAAGAAAGAGGTTGTTTCTGGAGAGATGTAAGATTGCTGAGGCTTCAGTGCACAGAGGATGGAGGAGAAAAACTGAGCACTCTCACCCACTCAGCTGCAAGTTTCACACTGAGTACCAAGCAATAGTAGTCAATTGTTGGAGGAGGAATAGAAACATGGAGAAGACTCCCTCTGTTTCATATCCATATCCATGCAGGAACTACTGAAATCTGAGAGTGGAAAAAGAATACTGAGAGAAACCATCTGACACTTGAGGCCCTACTAAGTACAAGGTCATAGGATTTCATTACTAGAGAAATGTGAAGTCTGTAGGGACTTAGGGAAACTAAAGCAACAACCAAATCCAAACTCAGATCAACTATAGGTTGAGTGCAGACCTCAACAGTGATGATCTAATGGAAGAGGTGTGCCCATTCCGGGCATAAAACTATGATTTCTTTCCATCTTTTCCTTCTTTTACACATAATGTCTGGCTTTTAACCCAAAATTATGAGATATACAAGAAAGTAAAATAATATAAGCCATTTTCAAAACATAAAATAGTGAATATACCAGACCCAGAGGTGGCTCAAATATTGAAATTATCAGACAGTGCAGTGACTTTAAAATAACCTATTGGTATGTTAAATGATCTGATGGAAAGCTTGGACAATGTGCATGAACAGATAGGATAGAATTTCACCGGAGAGATGGAAACTATACCAAAGAGCTAAATAGAAATGTTAAAAATATTTTAATTAGGCTGTGTATGATATTGTAGATTTCTCATGACAGCTCTGATGGAAGGATGCACACCTGATGCAGAAGGAATTCAGCTTGGGGAATGGAAAAAGAGGTCCTATCTTAGGAAAGAGTTTTCATAATGAAGAAATATTTCTGTAATAAGGACATGTTTAGCTGAGTATTTAAGAATGAATAGTACTTAGCCAGGTGAAGGGTATTTTAATTAGAAGGGAGACTAAGTGCAGGACATTGTGGCATGAGAGAACCTTTGGGAAAATGTATGTTTTTCTCTGTAACTAAAGCCTAAGCATGGTGAGGCTAATAAGAGAGGGGGCCACAGAGGTAGTTGAGGAACAGATATTGTCATTCTCCAGTGTTTGGATTTGGGGCCGGGCACTGTGGCTCATGCCTGTGAGGCCGAGGTGGGTGGATCACCTGAGGTTAGGAGTTCGAGGCCAACATGGCCAACATGGTGAAACGCCGTCTCTACTAAAAATACAAAAAGTAGCTGGGCATGGTGGTACGCACCTGTAATCCCAGCTACTCAGGAGGCTGAAATGGGAGAATTGCTTGAACCCAGGAGGCGGAAGTTGTAGTGAGCCAAGATCATGTCACTGAACTCCAACCTGGGCAACAGAGCAAGACTCCATCTCAAAAACAAAAGAAAAAAAAGTTTGGATTTTGACCTAAAGGTAACGTTTCAATCTGAGAAGAAGTATGATAAGATTTTTGGTTTAGAAAGATGAATTTAATGGCAGTATAAAGCATAATTCTTAGGGAAGTGAGATATAGAAACCATTTCAGAGACTGTTGGGTAATGCAGTCGAGAAATAATTAGGGCCTAAAATAAGGCAGTTGTCCTGGAGATGAAAAGAAAAGGATTTATTTGAAGGACTTTACGGTAGAATAAATAGGAAAGGGCTGAAGCTTTAGTTAAAACTGGGAAATAGGATTCTGTAAAGGGATTTGGACGCTTGCTTACCACAGAGTAGAAGGAAGTTTACAGAATGGAAAAATCTGGCAAGACAGGAGAATGCTTAAGAGAGGAGGAATCACAAAGCCATAGGATGATGAATTAGAGAGAATCTAGCATGTATTGGGCAATTGCAATTTGCTGAATGAGTGACAGAAAAGATGAAGAGACTTGCATTTAGGACAAAGTCCAAGCTTACAAAAATGTAAATATGATATAATTGGCTTGCATTAAGTTTTCAGAAAGAACTATATCATAAAGCTGTTGTAAATTTACTTGGACTCCTCTGAACAACATTGTGAAAATTTGGTTTGTTTATAAAGAAATCCCTCTCCACATAGAGAAAGGAACGTTAGTTTTCTTTATCTACTGTCTGGTATGATAATCATTAGCCACATGCAGCTATTGAGCACTTGGAACATGTTGAAATGATAATATTTTGGATATATTGTGTTTAAATATATTAAAATTAATTTCACTTGTTTCTTTTTACTTTTTAATATAGCTACTAGAAAATTTCTAATTAAATATCGGCTTGCATTCTCTTTCTATTGGCTAGTGCTACCCATACTCTTGCCTTACGGTAGAAAGACTCACACCTTTTTTAAGAGTTTGAGCTGATTATACCTTAAAGTCCTAGCCAAGAAATGAGGTTTACTGTAAAACTAACTCAAACTACTTTTGTTAATGAACAGTTTCACCATTGTGATACCGTAGTTAAATGTTAATTCTGAGTTACACTAATGAAATGTTTGCACTGTATCTGCTTCTGAGCTTAGAGAGCTTCTTAGCTAACTACAAGGCTAGAGAACTTTTCCTTGCTATATTCTATTATACTGCTTATAATTTTAATCTGATTTTAAGGAACCATGTAGTTATCTTTTCTTATGTTCTTTATCTTCACAATGAAAATTCAGATTCCTTGGAATTTTGATTTTTCTTTCTGTACCTCCATAGACTGTGACCCATAAATTAATAGACAATAGGGAAGTAGACATTTTTTCCCACTTCCTTTGCAGCGGCATTCAAATATACCAGGGCTAATAACAGGACTGAAAGGGACCGGATAGAACTTCTCCAAGATGCAGAACCTTTGGATTTTAATGCAGAAACATTCACTGATGATCCTCTTGAATCTGAATCAGGAAGGTAAGTTCTGGATGTGACATTTTAGCTCTAGCATTCCTCTACAATTTTAATAATACATTGACTTGACAAGGTTGAAAATAAGTAAGTAAAGGTAAAAGTAAACAAGTGATAAGTAAAGGAAAATGTTCATTTTCACTAATAATAAAAAATGAAGTAACTTTTGATACCTTTTTAGACTTTCTAATGCTTTTATATTTTTAAAATTATATCATCCAGTAATGGTAACTAAAATTGTTATCTTCATACAATACTAGTGGAATTATAAATAAGAAAGAATAATTGAAATATATAGCAAAGGATCACAACAATATTTATATGCCTGTTTCTGATTGTCCCATTTGTGAAATTTATCATATTTAGTAACTGCTGCATAGGAGTATCTAGATGCCAGACACTATTCTAAGCCCTTTAACAAAAATATTGTAATTGTATGGTTGCAAATTCAGTTGAATTTAAATCCAGAGAGGCTCAGTAAGCTGCCTAGAGTCACACAACTTGTAAATGGCAAGTCAGGCATTCAAATTCCAGTATTCTGGCTAAAGTCTGTACTTTTAGCCATTATCCTATGAGGACATAATTAAATAAAAGCAAAATATCATGTGCACAAAAATGTTTACTACAGTACTGCCTCTATGCAGTAAAAACCTAGGTTATATTTATATGCATCAATTGAGAGTGGTTATTGAATTGATTAGTCTCCCAGATGTGTCTTACATCCCCCGCCCCTTCTTTTTACATCTGTCACTCTGTCATGCATATATACTAGGGTCTAAAACAGTTGCTGGTTGATTTATAATTAAGTCCTTTTGGATAATATACTTGGAGGGTGAGTTTCTGCTTTCAGCTACTGACTAGATTTTACAATACTTACAAATTATGTGGCCACCCCCTTTTAATGTATTCTTGTTTTCTTCTCTTCCTTTATTATTTTTGATGCCTCAGATCATTTCTTTATGTTCCCTTTTTAGGTATCAGCCTGGTGGACGATATCTCTCGATGTCTCGCAGTGATATATTTAATGATGTTTAAAGTCTGAAAAAGTTTGTGGGACCACTAACCAAGGTCGACACATCAGTTCAGTCTTGATGAACATCTGTGTACCCTAGAATTTCCTCTATACTCAGTGAAAAGTGTCAAGATAACAAAAAAGACACTGAGAATTAATTATATCTTAGGAATAATAGTTTAATGTGCATTGAATAGAGTATCACCTTTTCCAACAAGATTTATTACATATCATTTCCTAAGCATCTGCCTTAGAAGTACAGTTACAGTGGAAGGATTTTAAAAAAGATCAACATATGTTAAGAACATGCAGTTCAGTTTGTTTCAGATTAATTTTTTTTTCAGGAGAGTTATTTTAAAGATTCAAGGAAGCCATAAGTCATACTAAATAACATTATATACAGTTTGATTATTGTGACTTACGTTTTTGTTACTTCTAAAAAATATATTCAACCTGTATTTCCCAAAGAAATGTAAGTGAATGGAGACCTCAAATAATAACTGTATTCATAAAACTCATGTCTTAAAACAAGGCTTACTTCTAGACATAACTGAATGTAAAAAGTGCTTTTTCAAATCTGTTTGCAAACTAGTGGGGATTTTTGCATGTATAAGATTAAGATTATACTTCAACTGATGCGTGTCTGTGTATTTAGCATGTGTACTGTAATCAGGTGATAATAGTATTCCTTCAGTCTTTGTAGTAACTGGATTTTTTTATGCTTCTGGTATTGCTTTATAAAAGATTTTCATTTCAGAAAACTATGTTCACATTTATCATTTAACCTATTGATTTAAATGTTGATCATGCCATTCAAGGATAAATCCTAGGCGTTAATGGAAAATAGTTTTTTTCTTTTTAGTAGTCAAAGAATCCAACAAAATCCTTTAATATTTAAAGGTACCTGTTCATACTTTTTGAGAAAAAAATTGGTTATTCAAAGGTAAAAAGTGAGTCAATTTACTGTTATTACTGATACATTGTGATTTATAGAAAACCAAACTATATTAGAATGGAAATGTGTAATAATTTGTTGGTTAAACATTCTTACTAAATAGATTGTTTTAACCTTTGTGTTTAAGCTAAATTTATGTATTATATTTTAAAGCACTAGTGTTTTATTGAAAAGTGAACATATTTAATCGCAGCATGCTTGCAGAGAGTTTTCTTATGTCCCTAGAATATTTGCAACTCTTACTGAATCCATGCTACATTGGGTGACCATACTTCAGCTTGCCTAATACAGTCTCAGTGTAACACCTCGTATCCTGTTTATTACTAGTGATTACTTTCACCCTCAAGTATCCCAGTTTGAAAATGAATTATATGGTTCCCCTAACTTGAAGTTAATCTTTCCCCAAGACATAAATTTAAAATTTTTTTTCTTTTTAATGAATATTATCATGTAAGTTTTTTAAAAACACAGCTCTATGCAGATATTGAAAGGAATAGAGCATCATCTTCATTATCTGAAAATTTTGATCTTTGGGTTTTTATGATCTTTGAGATTAGATTCTTTTTAAAATAATTATCAGTGGATAGACTTGCTCTGAATTGAAGGTCATATAGACTACACTGAAGAACACATACGTACAGTCTTTTCTTGTGAAGTGTGACCAGAGAGCAATAAGCCAGGAGCAGAGATACTTTGATGCTCTTTGTAATTTCATGATTGACTAATTGAATACCTTGGGCAAATCACGTAGCTCTTCAGTGCCTCAGGTGCTTCATTTTGCACCTTCATTTGCAGAATGCAGATGATACTTGCTATTTACCAGCTGATCTACCTTACAAAGCTATTGTGAGGAAGTTGAGTTGGTGTTTACGTACTGGAGTTTATAACTGTGCTATTTTTCCTAGTGATACTTGAAGGTATTGGATGGCAAAAATGGTCATCCAAGAAAGGGGTCCAGTTTCTTCTTATTACAGAAAAGCTTACAAGTCCCTAAAGCAAAAATGCTTTTTGGACTAATTCATCAAAAGTCCTGTGAAACTAGTGTTGTTTTATTTAGTCTTTGGGTTTACTTTGAAATAATTTCTTAAATATAATGTTTCTCTTCAGGTTTTGTAATGAAATTAAAATGCTGTTGTTGAAACAGAAGCAGAAAAGAAAAGAAATTCGCCAATTACTTTTATAACTAACGTTTATAATGCCCTAAGATAAATTGGTAGGAATGCATAAGGTAATGTTACCACTTTTCTTTAGTATTAAATTTTTTATGGTTATAATAATTGAAGTATATACATGCATACACTTCACAAACAGTATAGATTCCTTTATGACTTTCAAGTTATATTTAAAATAATATTTGGTTGTTTCAGTGATTCAGAGTATTCAACTTTTTAAGAAGAATTTGTCTTACAGAATGTTATTTACAATCATATAAAAATGTTATTTTGTTGGATAAATTTGAGTTCAGAAGGCAATGACTTGACCCTGGAAGACTGAGTTTATTGCTGGGGAACCAAGTTAATATTTGTCAAACCACCTTGTGTAAAAAACTGTAGTGGTACAAGTTTTCTCTTTCGAGAAGCTTATTGAAATATAATGACATCTACTGCAAAATAGGACTACTAAATGCACGTACTTTACATGCAAAGTACATTTCTTAAAGAATTATTTCTGGTAATTTTTGATGACTTTATTACTTGATAGTAAGTATTTGTTTAAAAATTTCCAAATTATTATTTAAATTGTTGTTAGGTAAGAATATTCAGTAAGCCAGTAATTCAGAATAACTATTTCAGAAAATAATAACAATCTATTAATGTAATGAATCACCTCTAAGTTACTAATTAACTTCTTTTACAACATAAATAACTTGTTATCAATAGAACATTTTTGTAAAAAACAAAAGAAAGTATAAGTTTAATTATTAAAATTTGCTCTCTTACCAAATGAATACAAGGGCTTTTGAATAATCTCATTGCATAAGAGGCCCTCATTTCACAAAAATGGTAAGAACTAAATCAAAAGATTCAAGGATTTTCCCTTTAAAGAATCAGAAAATTTGACAGTCCAGACATTCAAAAAAACATTCTGCCAGTTGACTTTTTTGGACTACTATTTGATTAGATGATCGGTTCTGAAATTAAACTGGATGTATGCCCAAATTAAATTAGCATAGGAATGTGTGTGGTTTTTTTTTTAAGTATATTTTAGCATATTAATAGAGAAATTTAATTTACGTTCAGTTACAAACCTCATTCTTTATAGCATTAATAGGTTTGGGGAATGTTCTTGATGGTGTGCTGATTACCATATTAAAGAAAAAATAAACTCCCCATATTATAATTCACTTGTTTAGTAAGGTGAGTTTCTTACTTGTGATTTGAGTGGACCATGCCTAAAAATTACAAGTATATTTGCGCTAAGCGACAAAATATGTCCCTGAAAAATCTTAGCATACTTGAATCATAAAATGTAATGGATTGTATTAAATTCTAAATGTTAAGAAGTAAGTGGATTTAGGATTTTGTCTTTCTTTTCTTATGTCCTCTCTCATTCCTTTATACCTTTCTTCCTTTCTGAGGCCTATGTTTATATAGTATGACTTTTAATCTGCTGAAAGATTTTCCTTCTGTTTTGTGTACAGAGTTGTTTTTGATGAGTAGTACACTTAGAAGGAACCGGTCTGACTACAAATCCCACTACTTGAAATAGCAATATTGTACCTAAAGTAGTCAAATAGATTTTGCTAGACAACTAAGCAACATCTGAATACAAATGTAAAGTGTGCTGGCTCAGTGTATCTTTTAGGTCACTAACTTGGACACATCAGTAAATAAATTATTTTTTGTGTAATATTTTTACATAAAAATAGATTTCCCCCCAAAATTTAGGATTTATTTAGATTATTGAGACATCTTTTTATGAAAAGGAATTAATAAATAACATGCATCATCAAAACTTTTCTTAGGAGAGTTGAAACAACAGAAGAAGGTTACAGAAGGCCTTCTAAAATATGAATTCCCATCTGTATGAGGTACTTCTTTCCAACTCAGTAACTTTTTGCCCAGAGACTTGGAAGACCAGACAATGTTTTCTTTCCCCTTTCCCGACTCCTGGAGACCAGGCGCTAGGAGCCATTTCCTCCAGTAGGGCAGGCCGTAGTTCTGCTCTGTCTTACTTCCCACTGCAGCAGGAACATGTCCACTCCTCTGATTCCTTCCGTACCCAACCTGGTTTAACTAAAATTTTATTTCTATTTTCAAAAGATTGGTCCATTGAGGTCAATTGAGGACTTACTGTAATTTTTAAATCTGTTAATAAAGCAAGAATATTGGCATGTTCCTCTTCTCATCAATATCCTAAAAGACGTTTGTTTTTTACACACTTCTTGGGAAAAATTAACTTTTTTTTCACTGAAAATATTTCCTTTTGTGATTATCTTGATCTCAAATTTTGTGAAAGAATTTTACTCTACTTAGTTCAAAAGAGTAGAAAGAATGATTTACTATTGCAGACATATGTAGGGTAAAATAATTTATTTAAACTGACTGTGCAACACCATTTAGAGTTGATATTGACATAAATGTTATTAGCCAACTAATTTGGAACTGTATGTCTCAACAATGCTGGCAAGTATCTTCTCTACTTAGTATACCAAGTTGTAGGGGAGAAACTGTATTTATTTTTTAAAAGCAATCCAATGGATTTGTTTTTGTTCATATTTTGAAAACAAGTTGTAGGATTTTTCTTATTTTAGAAGGTAGAAAATATGTGGACCTGTGTTTTAAATCACTATAATATGTATTTATAAATTGTAACATTGAATGATACAACAGAGCTCTAATATTGATGTTCTCACTTTCTGATATTTAATTTTTATAAATGCTTTTGTAAGTAACTAATTGTAGTATTGCTTTTAAATAGTTTTAAAATCTATCTCAAATAAGTTCTGCCCAGACCTATTTCCTTAGGACAATATTCGAAAGTTCAGTAGTCCAGTGTGAGCTTGAAATACTCCTACATCCCTTCAGTGATTTTTTTACATATACCAATACGCAGGCAAATAATTAATATACGAAAAACCTAATTTCTGCATTGCATTAATAAAATACTTGTTATTTTGCCTTTATCTAATTCAGTTGATTAGGTGAAATAGAAAATCTTTTCAAATGTGCATATGATCATAATTTTTCAAAATGTTACTGTGGTCATTTTTGGTGCATGATGCCAAATTTATCTTTAGTCAGCCATTGCTACCTGATATGTAATGACAAATGTTTTATTATCTGATCATTGGGTTGTAAATTAAACTACCTTTTTCTCTGTAGATTCTCACTACATTTTCAAATGTGTATTTGGAAAAAGCTGCAAAGTACTACCTATAAGCAAATTAGTAACTTTGGCCTTATCTATGCATAGTGTTCTCTCAGTTTGGTTTTGATAAATTCATTGACTTGCAGTTCCTTTGTAGTATTTTAATTTATTGTGATGTAATGAATTTTTTGAAATGTTCATTTGATTAGCTGTTAAAATATAGGAAAGAATGTAGCTTTGCATGAAATAAACTACATTTCTACAAGTTAATAAGAATTTTGCTGATTATTTATATATTTTACTTAATTTGAGATTAAGATTCTTTTAAGTAGATTCAGGCGTTCTTTGTTCCCTATCAATGTATTAACAAATATGACAAAATGTTTTAAAATAAATATGTGTACTTTAGTTTCCACGTTACTTTTTCTTATGTTTAAAAGTAATTATAGGCCAGGCGTGGTGGCTCACGCCTGCAATCCCAGCACTTTGGGAGGTCGAGGCAGGCGGATCACGAGGTCAGGAGATCGAGGCTACCCTGGCGAACACAGTGAAACCCTGTCTCTACTAAAAATACAAAAAAGTTAGCCAGGCGTGGTGGTGGGCACCTGTAGTCCTAGCTACTCAGGAGGCTTGAACCCAGGAGTTGGAGCTTGCAGTGAGCAAAGATCACGCCATTGCACTCCAGCCTGGGTGACAGAGCGAGACTCTGTCTCAAAAAAAAAAAAGTGTATATGTATTGAAACATACTGTACCCCATAAATATGGACACTTATGTATCAATTTAAAACAAAAACATTTTAAAAATTTTTTAAAAGAGAAGTAACCCCCTCACTACAAAATGCTTAAAGAAAATTAGATCAGAAACCAATGAAACTGAAAATGGGAGAACAGCAGAGAAAATCAACAACACCAAAAGCTGGGACTTTAAAAAAAAAAGATCAATAAATTTGATGAAAAAAAAATTTTTTTTTTTTGTGACTGTCTTGCTCTGTCACCCAGGCTGGAGTGCAGTGGTGCAATCTCAGCTCACTGCAAGCTCCGCCTCCGGGGTTCACACCATTCTCCTGCCTCAGCCTCCCGAGTAGCTGGAACTACAGGCACCCACCACTACGCCCAGCAACCTTTTTTTTTTTTTTTTTTTTTTGTATTTTTAGTAGAGACGAGGTTTCACTGTGGTCTCGATCTCCTGACCTCGTGATCCTCCAGCCTCGGCCTCCCAAAGTGCTGGAATTACAGGTATGAGCCACCACACCTGGCCAAATTTGATGAAATTTTAACCAGGCTAACCAAGAAGACAGAGTAGGCTGCTTTCCTGTATACCAAGAATGAACAATTGGAATTTGAAATTAAAAACACAACACTATTTACATTGGTCTTAGCTAATAGAGTAAGAGAAGAAAGGGAATAAAAAGTGTACAGATTCTTTTTTGTTCACAGATGACATAATTGTCTATGTAGAAAGTCCAAAAAAATGACAGAATAACTCCTAGACTAATAAGCAATTATAGGCCGGGTGTGGTGGCTCATGCCTGTAATCCCAGCACTTTGGGAGGCCAAGGCGGGCAGATCATGAGGTCAAGAGATCGAGACCATGCTGGCTAACAATGAAATCCCATCTCTACTAAAAATACAAAAAATTAGCCAGCTGTAGTGGCGGGCGCCTGTAGTCCCAGCAACTCAGGAGGCTGAGGCTGGAGAATGGCGTGAACCCAGGAGGCGGAGCTTGCAGAGCTGAGATCGTGCCACTGCACTCCAGCCTGGGTGACAGAGTGAGACTCTGTCTCAAAAAATAAAAAAATAAGCAAGTATAGCAAGGCTACAAGAAACAAGGTTAATATACAAAAGTCAATCACTTTCCTATATAGCAGCAATGGACAAGTGGAATTTGAAATTTAAAACACAATAACATCTATATTGGCATCCGCAAAAATGAAATACTTAGGTATAAATCTAATGAAATTTATATGAGAGCTGTAAGATGGAAACTACAACTGATGAAAGAAATCAAAAAACTAAATGGAGAAATAGCCCATGTTCATGGATAGGAAAACTCAACATGTCAGCTCTTCCCAAATTGATCTATAGGTTCAATGTAATTCCACTTAAAATCTCAGCAAGTTATTTTGTGGATATTGACAAGCTGATTCCAAAATTTATATAGACAGGCAAAAGACCAGAAGAGCCAACACAACACTGAAGAACAAAGTCAGGACTAACACTACTCAATTTTAAGTCTTACTATAAAGCTCCACTCCAGTAGTTAAGGCACTGTGGTGTTGGTGAAAGAATAAACAGATCAATGGACCAGAATAGAAAGCCCAGAAACAGACCCATATAAATGTAGTCCATTGATCTTCGACAAGGGAACAAAAACAATTCAATGGAGATAGACTTTTTAACAAATGGTCCTGGGACATTCACATTCAAAGAGATAAGTGTAACCTTTTGCAAAAATTAATTCAAAGCTGATCATAGACATAAAAGTAAAACACAAAACTATAAAACTTCTAGAAAATAGCATAAGAGAAAATCTAAGTGATCTTGGGTTTGGCAATGAGTTTTTAGATAGAGCACCAAAATCACAATTCATGGAAGAAAAACTGGAACCTGGACGTCATTAAAATTAAAACTTCTGCTCCACAAAAGATACTGGCCATCTGGCCGGGCGCGGTGGCTCAAGCCTGTAATCCCAGCACTTTGGGAGGCCGAGACGGGCGGATCATGAGGTCAGGAGATCGAGACCATCCTGGC